CTTTTCTAGATCAGACAGCTCAGGAGATGTGGCGGGCCAGAGGCTGAGGGAGTTAGACCGCGGCATTCTTGAAAGGTCATCCAAATTCAAAAAGGAATCCTAACAGCAGCCCACAGGGACTTCGGCCACACTGGAAAAGCCAGGAGTGGTGGACAGGGCCTTTCCAGCTCAACACTCAGGGCTTCTCCACCCGTTGAAATGCAATTACTCAGCTTGCAGGATAGCTCCTTTTGGGGTTCTGGAGTTCACTTAGGGAAGTGCAGAGGGAGTCAGCGGAGAACAAACGGCCATCTGCGTGTGTTTGTGTCTGTGTCTGGGTGGTGTGAGTGTACACAGTGCGGGTCTAGTCTCTGTCTGTCTCCAGAGGGGTAGATACGTCTGAGAAGCCCCTGCATTTCAGGGTTAGAGGCTCACCTTTTGCAGAAAGCATCTACTTGGGAGCCCTGAACTTGTGCCACTAACCCCAACCCTGTTCCCTGCACCCTGGGCTCTGGGAGACCCCACCCCTAATCCCAAAAGGTGCGTTCTGCAGCACAAGGCCAGCCCCTGCCTCTGGCCCACCTGTTCCTGGTCGCAGCTCTACAGTGCAGAAGCCCTCAATCCACTGATAGCAGGGGAAGTGGAAAAGGGCACCGTCGGGGGCAGTGACACAGATGTGGCTGCAGTACCAGGAGTCCTTGCGGAAATAAGCATAGCGCTCCTTGTGTAGACGCAGCAGCAAGAGCTCACCCAGCTCTGCTGAGCAGCGCACTTTGTACTTCTGCACCTGAGGGGACCAACAGAGGAAGCAGGTGAGAGGCGAGGAACTGCCGGAGCTGTCCTGCACCTTGCAAGGTGCGTCTGAACCCACACCTGTTCTGGCATAGAAACCTGAGCTGCCGCTAACCCATGTGACGATTTTGTATGAGTTAGAAAAAAAGCACCCCTTTCACCAGGCAGAAGCAACCGCAGCTACCACAGGCAGGGTAGGTTCTGGATTGCACTAGCCCCCTTGGTGGCCAACTTCTCCCCAAGACCCACCAACAAACAATCCTGGGCCTGGTAGAGGCAGGTGGATGCCCCCCAGAGAAGAAGAAACCCAGACTCTGGGAGTTCAAGCGACTTGCCCAGGGCCCACCTTCAGTTATGAGAGGAGAAGCTGGGAAGCCATTGGAATTCTGTCCCCTTGCCCAGGACTCCTTCACAGCCCCGCCTGGGTAGGGTTTATCATCCCCAGGAAAGACAGGAACCAGACAGAGCCAGCAGCCAGAGTTCTGCAGGAGGTGATCAGCCCTGAAGGAAGACGGTCCCCTCCTTCAGGGTCCCCTGCTGGCCCTGCCCCTCAGGGGTGCTCCTCCCTCTCTCTTCTGTACTCACCGATCCAGGGGCGAAGTCCCTGCCCACGCGATCCAGCAGCTGCTTGGGGCTCTCACCATACATGCCCACCAGAGTGACGGAGATGTTGTCCAGTGTGCCTGCCCCCAGGTAGGCACCAGTGGTCACACACACGCGGTACACGGCCATGATGGGAGGGACGGAGGGATGCCTCCGGACAAGGTGAGCCCCAGCAGCGGGCGGCCTGGTGGTGAGCAGCAGGAGGAGCAGGACTGGATGGCTGTGATGCTGAGCCGCTGGATGGGAGGTCTGGGGGCGGGAGGGTGGGGGGTAGGGGGAAAGGCCTTGGAGGAAAGGCCCAGCTCCCTCCGAGATGTTTTCTCTGTCCTGAAGCTCCGGCCTCTGCCCGGGCCTCTGCTCACTGCCGGCTCCCTCTCCCCGCCCACACCTGTCTTCTAATAGTTGTTTGCTTGCCTCTGGCGCAGCCGGTCTCTCTGGCTGGCAGGACAGGGCTCACCCAGATGGATATCAGGAGCCCCAGCCTCGCTGGGAAGGGAGGGACCAAATGCTCAGAAAGAGACAGCGAGTAGGTGACGCCTGTATGATTGGGACATGGTGAGGGGCCCTACAGATGCTCTGGGGCCCTTGTCCGCCCGGCCACTCCCAAGTTCCCCCTCCCCAAGACCCTTTCCTCATCTCTCAGCCACAACCGGGGACAAAGCACCCACATTCCTACTTGTGAATCATCCACGTGAATCACTGTACAGTAGTAAGACACACTCAGCCAGAAATCACACGTGCCTTCAGCCACACGCAGGCGAGTCTCACGCGCATTCCTGCACCTCGCGTGAGGGTCAGAAACAGCTCTCCTGTCACCCCACACTCTGCACCGCCCTCCCACGCCCGGCCCTCCGTGACCCCTGTCTTTGGCATGCCAGATCTCAATCTCTCCCTTGGAATGGAGCTCGTCAGGGTATCGAAGTGGACTCCCGGCGCACAGTATCTGAAGGTCCCCTGTGGCATTCGGGCCCGCCCTCGACCTTCGGGCCGGTGGGCGGGAGCGGGGGTGCCCGAGTGCCTAAGATTTAGGTCATTCATACCCCGCAGAAACCTCCCGGCGAGGAAAGCCCGCAGCCGGCAGCGGCCCCGCGCGGCCAGTCCCGGCACCGCGCTATCCCAGCCCCCGGGCCTCCAGCCCTAGCTACCGAACGGCGGAAACTACTCGAGGGAGGCCGGTGGGAAGCGCGATCAGCAGTTGCCCGGTGCTCCAGCTTCCTTAGGGTCTGTGCCGGCATCCTCGGAGCACTTGCATACAATTCCCCTTCGGTTTTGCGAGCGTGAAATTTTACAGGTCTAATACTCTTAAAGATGCCAGAGCAGGAAAAGCCTCAGAGCCCGGATAGCTCAGTCGGTAGAGCATCAGACTTTTAATCTGAGGGTCCAGGGTTCAAGTCCCTGTTCGGGCGTTCAATTTTTTTCTAACTAAACACTCATTTCTAAGTACAATTAATATTTGTATACCTTCAAACAAAACAAAGGAAAAGAATAACAAAAATTCTCTTAATTAGTTTTAAAAGGAAGTGGTATTTAAAAGGAAGTGGTAAAACGCCAAGTTTTTAGTTTTCAGAAGATAGAACGAATAATGGGAAGGAAAGTAGAGATGCTTTAGAGTAGTACATATACGAGTCATATATGCTAACTTAAATTTTCTAGTAGCCACATTAAAAAGAATAAAAAGTTTAATCAAGATGTGTATACATTAAGTGTGTGAAGTTTTTGTATATCAATTATACTTCAATAAAACTAAAAATGTAATAATAATCATAGAAAAATAAACTAGGGGGGTAACAGGAGTACATGGGAGATCTCTCTACTTTCTGTTCAATATTTCTGTAAACATAAAACTGCTCTAATAAATAAAATCTGTCATTTTCTTTAAAAGAGTAAAAAGCAACAGTTGAAATTAATTTTAATAACATATTTTATTTAACCCCAAGTATCCAAAATCTGAGCATTTTAACATATAATCAATATTTTAATGTTAATGAAATTATAACTTTTTCTGTACTAAGTCTTCTATGTACGGTTTCCATTTTACATTTACAGTACATTTCAATTCATATTTTAGATGCTTGATAACGGCGTCTACCTTATCTAACAATTGTTTTTGTGTTGTTTTGTTCTCTGTAAATAGTAGAGTGCAGGGCAATAAGAACAGAGTTTACAATTACATAAATATTCAGAAGGCGCTTTCACCAGTTGGTTCCATGGTGTAATGGTTAGCACTCTGGACTCTGAATCCAGCGATCCGAGTTCAAATCTCGGTGGAACCTAAAGTTTTGTTTTTCACAATTGTCAATATGTTCCATTATGTATTGGTTTTATATATAAGGTTCTTTTATGAAGAGTATTTAAAAAGAAAAACTACAATTCTGTTCTTTGAGCTTTCACACTAGGCAATTGAAGCCCCTAGCACTCTGAGGAAAACACAATCACTTGAATATGTATATGAACACGTGCGCTAATTTTGAGAGATAAGAATGTTATTTGAGAACATGTTAATGGGGAGATCAGTTACTAAGAAAAGGTTACTTGGGCAGTTTCCATCAGGTCTTGGTTTGGGGCTGGGATGCAGATCTAGGTAGGATACGTCTTGAATACCAGAGAGGGATGACAGTGGCGAGACCTCTATGAGGAGTCCTCATAAAATTGAGGAAGATCCCACAAGGTCCTGCATGAATTGTTACAGGAGGCATGAACCACGAGGGGGGCGAAAAAAACTTTAGTTTGGCAGCGGTGGGATTCGAACCCACGCCTCCGGAGAGACTGGAGCCTAAATCCAGCGCCTTAGACCGCTCGGCCACGCTACCTGCGTGAAGTAAGAGTTCCTCCACACTCCTCCTAAGAGACTATAGATAAGTAAGCTAGAAATGGTTGTATTAAATTGGCTGGTCTTCTTTGGAAACCATCTAGATTTAGAACTGCAGAGCAGCGGATAGCAAAGCAGATAGGCCAAAGGAAACAAAGACACAGAAATTTACAACGAAATAAGTTTATTTTGATGAGTGGGGCCACATCTGGGAGTGGGGTGCGCCTGGGCTGGAAGCATCATCCTCCAAGCAGGCAGCTGGAGCTCTGTGCTCGTCCCCTCACTCATGTTGCTCTCTCTCCCTGTTTCCTCCACCCGTGTGCTCCCGCACTCCCACCTGGCTCACCTGCTTTGCTCCCGCTACCTCTCCCTGGTAGGTCTCAGGTCCTAACCGCGAGCTCTTGGTACGCCCCTCCCTCTCCCCCTCCCCCATCCAGCTCCCGTATGCCGTCAGACGCCGCCGCTAGTTAGCGGGCTCTGTGGCGCAATGGATAGCGCATTGGACTTCTAGTGACGAAAGAGCGATTCAAAGGTTGTGGGTTCGAATCCCACCAGAGTCGGTTTTATTCCAACTTTTATTTTCTTTCCTTTTTTTTTTTTTCTCCTAAAGGTCCCGTCCCTCTCCCCCTATCCTAACTCTGTTTTCCATCTGTTTTCAGTTCCAGCCTCAGTCTCTGCTCTGCTCTCTTCTTTACTTACCTGTCTGCCCTGGGACTTGGGCCTCGGAGAGCAGGACTTGGGGGACAGGAGACAGAAGGGGAGGGAAAGTAGGCGTGGACGCCGAGATAAAGGCAGGCCCCTGGCTTTGGGACACACGGGGATTTAATAACCACTTTATTCCATGCACTAGGGACTCGAGAAGGGGTTGGGGCTGGGCTGGGACAGAGAGGGTACAATCCTAGACGCAAGGGGGGCAGGGGAAAGGGACAGGAACCAGGAAAATATATATTTATATAGATACTCTAATATAGACCACATCTCACCCGCGCGCTGCGCCCGCGCGCCCCGCCGCCCTCCCCAACACCTCCTCGCCCGGACTCCCGGATCCCTCTGCTGCCCTTAGGCTGGAGTCTCTACCCTACCCCCAGCCCCGCCCCCACCCCCCAAAGCTTAGGGCCAAGGTCTCCAGAAAGCGGGCGGCGGGAGCGGCGGGGCCTTGGGGCGCCCCGTCTTGTCTGTAAGGAGGCGGAGGCGGCGGCTGCAGTCCGGTGAGGGGTGCCGGCTCGCCGGAATCCCCGGCGTGGGGGGAGCAAGGGGACGGGGACCAGGCGCAGCCAGGGCTAGGGGAGCCCTGGTGCACTGGGGGCGCTGGTGCAGCGCGGGCCAGGCGCCGGGGCGGCGGGGTCCAGCGGTGGGCGCGATGCTTGGGGCCTCGGATCGATGGGTTCCGGCCGGGGCGGCTTGGGGCGCAGGTAGACATGCAGCGCGGAGAAGAGCTGGGCACGGGCGGCCGGGCTGGCGTCGTGCGCGAAAGCCGCCAGGCGAAGCAGGCACTCCCGGAAACCGGACAAGTAGCAGCTGGCGAGCGCCTCGGCGTCCTGGGCTGGGAACCGGGGGACCCCTGGAGCCGCGGGGCGGGTGCGGCCGACGGGAGGACGGGCGGTCAGGGCAGGGGCCCGGCAGGGGTAAGGGAAGGGCGGGGCGCAGAAGTACCAAGGCCGGACAGGCGCACAGAGACAGGAAACCAAATGGACGGACAGAGAGAAAATGAGGGAGACACAGAGACAGACACGCGCGGGTGTTATTAACCTCGCCTCAGAGCGGAGCCTGCCACTCCCCAAGCCCACCGTCCACGGCAGAGTCCGCCCATCTACCCCGGCCCGGGCCTCGGTGATCCCCCCTCCCCTCCGCTGCCCACCCCCGCGCTGTACCCGGGGGCTCCACCCGGCTTCGCTCCCTCAAGTAGCCCACGGCGAACTCCAGTATCTCTGCTTTCTCCAGCTTCGGGTTCCGGAGGTTCTACAAACAGGAGGGGAGGGCGCAAAGACAGAGGGGTGGGGAGAGAGGGGGAAAGTGGCAGGGGGAAGGAAGGAGGGAGGGGTGCAGGGGCTGGGGGTGCCCCCGGATCGCGTGTGCGCGCTGACCGCAGAGCGCGCTCCCGAATGCGGCGTGGAGAGGACCAAGAACGGTCCTCACCCACCCTGCGAGGAAACGGTCCGACCCGAGGGGAGGAAACCAACCCCGCGCTGGGAGGAGGGCATTTAAAGTAGCAAACCCAGTGAGTGAAATGAACCACCCTGCTGGCTGCTGGGGGCGGAGAGGGAAGGCAGAGGAAGAATCTGCAGACCCGGAGGTTGAAACAGACCCACCCTGGAGGGAAATGTACAGAGCAAGGTGTGAAACTTACAGACCCGAGAGGCGGCCACGAAGATCGCGTTCTGAGAGCAAGAAGGGGTCTGGGATGGGATTCCAAGGGCGGGACTCAGGTGAGGGTGCCTCGGGGCCAGGGTCGCCAGTGCAGCCAGCATTTGTCCCCACCCAAGTGGGAAGCCCTGGGACGCGAGGACGGGGTGCTTGGGGGTCCGGAAGGACTGACCTGGTCCCGGGTCCGCTCCAGCAGCAGCAGCCTCAGCTCTTCTAGGCTGCGGTTGATGCGATCTCGGCGCCGCTTCTCCACTAGCGGCTTCAGCATCTGGGACCAGCAGGAAAGGGAGAGCGGGCCGACGGGACCAAGACTCAGCGCGGCCGCGCGGGCGTGGGGACCCCGCCGCTGGGACAGTCCGGCCTCCACCCCTTCCCCAAGACTCCTGAGAGCCGAGGGCCCGACCCGCTCGACCCCTCTCCGCTCCCCCTCCCAGCGCCCCTAGGGCCAATTTCTGGAGCTCGCCTCCTCTCTCTCCCGGGTCTTCTGCATCCTCCTCTCAGTCTTGTCCTCCCTCCTCCCCTCTCTGTGTCTCTCCTCCTCTTTTCTCTCTACTTCTCCGCATCGTGCAGTGTCTCTCTGTCTCAGTGGAGAACTTTGAGGGCCCTCTTTGCGCCCAGACACGTGGGCCACAAGGTGCCGGACTCAGAGTTGGCGGCCCTGAGTGTAGAAAGGGAGATACCCCGCGCGACCGCACCTCCTCTTCTCCCTCTAACCCGTCTGAGCGGTCACCCTTCGTAACTGGTTCTAAAATCCTCCACCCCCCAAAAAATAAAATAAGATAAAATCCTCCACCCCGCCTCAGGCCTCTGGAGCCCGTGCCCACCGGGCCAGCCCGCGCGGAGCAAGTGCGCGTCTCGCCTTTCATTCCCGCCCTCCTCCCTCCACCCTCCTCCCCGAGCTCTGTGCTCCTCTCGGTGGTTTCACGCAAACACCAGCCCCCGCCCGCGTCCCCGCGACCGCAAGCTGCCAACTCCCGTGACCCAAACCCCAGCCTGGTGCTTCTGCCGCCCACGCAGGTCCTGCCTGACCCTGCCCCCTCCTTCAGGCTTTGCAGCTCCCTCCCCAGCTCCTGGCTCCGCGGGTCTCCCGTGCACATCGCCCCCTGCAGCCCAGCGCTCAGAGACACGGTCCCCTGCCCCGACCAGGGATCTCGGCTCCCTCTTCTCCCGCCGCTCACCTTGGGGCCGTCCCTATTCTCGGCTCGATCCCGGGTGACCATCGCTCCTCCGGACCCTGGTGTGGACGAGCCCCTGCTCCCGTTGCGCCTTATATGCCTCAGGCTCCCGGGAGCCGGGGGGTGGGGGAGGAGGACCAGGACCCGCCCTCTTAGGCACCCGGATCCCTCCGGCTGGGCCCCCGGCACGAGGCTCCCGGAAAGGGGAGGAGCGCTAGGGGGAGGGGGAGGCGTGGAACGGGCCTGGGAGTGTGGGAAATGAGGGGTCAGCGGAGCACCAGCTGTTTTAAGGACCATAAGGCTGTATAATGAGGCGGGCCCAGCTGAAGGGAGGAGGTTATTAGGGGGGAGAGTGTTCAGGTGATTTGGGGTCAGAATTTGCCACCAGAATCGCAGCTTGTTTGGGCGGTCACCGTACCCCCGCTGACAGTAAAAAAGAAGGGAGCACCCCTCGGCCCCTAGGCTGGATCTTAGACATCTTCACCCCAAATTATCCTGCTTAAAATAAGAAGAGACCTAGCGTGTGGGGGGTGGATCTATCTAATTCAGCTGGGGTTCTGCCTGGAGGGGGAAGAGACGCGCTGTGAGATCGAAGGCGGTCATTTAATTCCCCAACAGGGGAGGGACTGGGGCCGCACAGGAGTCCGGAGGGGCGGCGGGGGCCCGCGCTCGGCGCACTGGTCTAGGCCTGGACCGTTTGCGCTGAGGTATGCACTCGAGGTCCAGCTCATCCCTGCAGGATCTAGGGGGGGAGGGGGGGGCACGGCGTGTTATCAAGTAGCTATTACAGAACCAAAGCAGGTAACCGGGAAGAAGACCATCCTGAGGGGTGTGTGGACTGGGGCGAGGGGAACCTCAAAGAAGAGGAAGCGAAGCGCGGGCAGGAGGCGGAGAGATCTTTCCATTTACAAGGATTTGATTCAAAAAGGTGGGAGATTCGGGCGCGTGGCTGCCAGGACACCTGACACGTGTGCGCCCGCTCCCAGGAACCTCCTGGTAACTATAGGGGAGCAGGGAGCAGGCAGTTTTCTTAAAGGGACCTACACCCACCCCAAACCAAGACCATGACCCTCTGCAGAATGATGCGACTTCAGGGGGAAACGATCGATGAGGTAAAATCAGAGATTTAACAGGACAGCAAGAGTGCTAGCGACAAGGAGACGTCAAGATAAGGTTGGAGACCAAGTCGGAAGATAGACGCGGAGTAGGGAGCGGATGGGACTCCGCCTGGCCCTCCCCGTGCCCCTCCACAACTTGATATTCTTCACGGAGCCTAGCCTGCCAAAGCCCGAGCCCGAAGCGACGCAGACCTTGGGGAGGGCGCTCCCATTTGGGTTCAGGGCCCCCAGCAATCCCACCTCCCCGTACCTGGGCCAAATGGGAACGCAGATGTGTGGCCCCAGTAGCCCCCGCCGCCCCCCTCCTTGGGAACCTGGGCTCAGGCTGAGTTTTTCGCACCTGCACGCGAGGTTTGGGGGCCCCGGGCTGTTCGCACCCGGGTGTGGGGCCGCCCCTGGCCATATGGGGCGACTTTATGGCCCAGTGGCCGTATCCGGGAGAGAGGAAGGATGGCTGGGTTGCTCCACCCACCTGAACTATTCAGACCCACTCTTTCGCTAGGTCCCTGGCTGACACAACCCGCCTGATCACCGCTATGTTGCCCTCTTATAAGCTCTGGTGAAGCCCGGCTAGAGCGCGCATTGGTGGTTCAGTGGTAGAATTCTCGCCTGCCACGCGGGAGGCCCGGGTTCGATTCCCGGCCAATGCAACGTTGCTTTTTCACAACAAAAACTGAAAGAAGTTTGATATTTCTCTGAGAAGCACCTTTCATTAATATTTTCACCACATATTAATATATTACTTTTTACTCTACTGAAGGGTTTGAGGCTCTGGTGGAGATCTTGATTCCATACCTCCTCACACGTCCATCCTCCCAACCAGGGGGTCCTGCTGCCTTGCCCACCACTCCCTTCGCCCCCGCCCCCGCACCTCCGCAGGCGTGACCCTGAGAAAGGGCACCGCGCTCGGATCCCTGCCCCGGGGGTCCTCTGGGCCCTCCGCGGGGGAGGGGCGAGGTCTTCCCGCCCCGTGCGCTCTAATTCCCTTGCTCTTCTTTCCACCTCTCCGCCTCGCTCGCTCTCTGTCCTACCTCCTGTTCTCTCTGAAGCGCCCTTTCTTTTTCCAAGTCCAAGGGTCTCGGCCTTTGGTGTCTTGCAGTCTTTCTGTGCTGCGTACCTCTTGGCGTCTCTGTCTCTGTCTATTTCACGTTCTTTCCAGGTCTCTTAGCAACTTTTGCGCTCACCTCTCTGGGTCTTCAGTTGTCTCTGCGTTTTTGACTCGGGGTCTCTCCAACTTCTCCGTCTCTCTCTGCGTCTGCATCTCGGTGGCTGGGTGTCTCTGCGATCTCTCGGCTTCCCTCCGGGTCTCTGTCCCCTGCCCGCACTCTGCGCTCCCACGCTCCTGACATCCCCTGGGAAGCTCGCTCACACCTCGGGGATCCTGCCACCTCCCCGCCCGCCCCTTCCCGGGGGCTTTGATCCCGCACGCGTCGCGCCAGCGGGAGGCCCAGCGCCCCGCCAGCTGCCGCGGCCACTCTGAAGCGGGGGCGGGGCGGCTGGGTCCCCCCACTGGCCGCGCGGGTTTCAGGTCTTCCGGCGGGTTGGCCCCCCTCCGCGCCCCTCCTGCTGGATCTGTCTCCGGCAGCTGCCTAGGCTGTGCTGAGGCTGCGTCTCGGCCTTGTCTGCCTCGGTCACTCTCTCTGGAGCTCGGCCTGGGCCCGGGCCCCTGCCGCTGGTTTCTGTCTCCTGTCCTCTCAGTTGTCTGTTTCATCTGGGCCCGGTCTGGGTCTTTCTCGTCTCTGGATTGTGTCAGTGGATGGCAACGCTCTCTTCTCGATTCTAAGGTGGGACAGTGGCCCCCAGAAGGAAATCGTACAACATCTGAGCATCTGTGTGTCTGCGCGCACAGCCGTGTTGTACGCACGCAGCCGGTATTTGTGGAGTGCCTCCTGTGGTGCTATGGTTAGACTTTGAGGGAACATTGGATCTGGTCTCCCCTGAAACTTAGAGTGGGCAGGGGAGACAGAAAATAACTAAGAAAGCAGAAAATAATATAAATTCAGATGCCATGAGGCTGGGGCGGGCGAGGAACACCGGATATGGCAATGGCTTGAGAGTGAGGGAAGTGCTACTTTCAGTCTGGGTGTTCAGAGGCAGCCTCTATCAGGAGGTGACATTTGAGCCCCGCTTAGCCAACCATGAGACCAGGCAAAACAAAAACAACAACACACACACACAAAAAAACCCACAAAACAAACAAACAAACAAACAACAGCAAAAAAGAAAAAAGAAAAGAAAAGAAACCCAGCAAGTGCAAAGGCGCTGGGGCAGGAAAGGGGTTTGCTGGTGGGAGCTAGAGAAAGAGGGCCATTGTCCCCAGGAGGGAGAATTTTGAGCTGCAAAAATGGAAGGAATGGATTTTAGTCTAAGTGCAATGGGAAACTGGTGGAGAATTTTAATAGGAAAGTTATATTCACTGACTTTTGTATTAAAAGATCACTTTGGCCCTAACTGGTTTGGCTCAGTGGATAGAGCGTCGGCCTGCGGACTGAAGGGTCGATGTTTCCCTCTCATTGGTGTTTCTAACTCTCTATCCCTCTCCTTTCCTCTCTGTAAAAAATCAATAAAATATATTTTTTTAAAAAAAAAGCCCTTCTCGCTCCAAACACACACATACACACACTCACTTCAGGCCCCCCAAACCTGAGAGGAGCTTTTGGGGCCCAGTGATTTTTCTCCAGCCACTGTTCCTGTGCAGATGTGGCTCTGAGGACATTCCTACCCCCATTCCCAGCATTTATGGGGGTATTGGATAGGGTCTCTGTGGGCCTGGCATGCCTCTATGTCAGTGTGGGCCTGTATGTATGTCTGTTTGTGTCTGTGCACAAGGCGTGTGTATGAATATCTGGGTCTCCAGCCTCTTCCTGGCCATGCTCTCGACACTGGGCCACTGGGCTTGGGAGAGGGGAGCTCCTGTCCCGCACGTGCTGGGTCCATACAGAGGCAGGGGGCAGGGAGGAACTGAGACAGCACAGCTGGTCCAGTTGTCTGAGCTTCCCCTCCCTGCTGGGATTCCTCCCCAGGCCTGGGTTCCGAGGCTCAGCTCCTCCCTCTTTGTTCTTCAAAGGGAAAGCTGGCTTCCTGGGACCCCCCTGGGTCCTGGGTAGGGGGAGTGTCTAGGGTTGGATCCTGGAGGTTGGGGATTGGGAAGTAGGAGGACCAGGCCTCTGGGCCAAAGGAAGAACCAGGATAGAAGACCTTCATATATCCCCAAACAAAACAAACAATACTCCTTGCTCTTAGAGTCATACACTCCTTGTGGGGGAAGCAGTCCAATGAACATTGTACAAAACTTACCTTTTGTTGGATGATGGTAAGTGCTAGGGGGGAAAGTGAGGCAGGGGAGTGGAGAGTGAGAACTGCAATTTTAGACGGTATGGTCAGGGAAGGCTCATTGAGGTGAAATGTAAGGTGAGAGGTCAAACTACAGGGCTGCTGGGGGAAGAACACTCCAGGCAGAGGGCTTTGGCCTATGGAAAGGCCTTGAGGGGCAACGTGCCTGGTTTGTCAGAAGAACAGAGAGCAGCAGAGCCTGCATAGGCGTGGTTGGAATGGAGGCAGCGAGTGCAGAAGTTGTAGGAGGTAAGATTGGAGCCATCATGGGAAGGCTGGTTATGAAGGACCATCTAGGCCAGTGATGGTGAACCTTTTGAGCTCGGCGTGTCAGCATTTTGAAAAACCCTAACTTAACTCTGGTGCCGTGTCACATATAGAAGTTTTTTGATATTTGCAACCATAGTAAAACAAAGACTTATATTTTTGATATGTATTTTATATATTTAAATGCCATTTAACAAAGAAAAATCAACCAGAAAAATGAGTTCGCATGTCACCTCTGACACGTGTGTCAGAGGTTCGCCATCACTGATCTAGGCCCTGAGAAGACTTTGTCAGGACTCATTCATCTCGCAGTGAGATGAGAAGCCGGTGAAGGGCTTTTTCTCTGTTTGCTTTTTTTTATATAATTTTAAACTTTAAGAAAAGTTA